AATGCTCTGCCGCCACCTGGTGGCCAACCAGTCTCTCCTCGCCCTGCTCGGCGTTGACACCCTGTCCAGGGTCCTCCACCCTCCTCCAAGGCCGACTCATAAGACCCCTCGCTGTCGGAGTCTAGCGGCAGCTCCAACGGCTCCTGCCGGGCCACAACAAGGTCTTAAGTGCTATTGGTAGCACCAATTTGGCTCACCATTGCTAGGTCAGATTCTTGTGTATAGGTTGCATGGAATAAACCTCTTTTTGCAGCTCTTGTTAAGCAAATGATGATGTTCATTAAGTGAATCTGTGGTTAAGCGAACCTGGAAGTAAATGCCAGTTTTGGGCAAAAACATTATCATTCATAGCAACAGGATGCTGCAAACGCCCATAAACGCCCAGTGCCGAGTGCCCAAAATATAGTCACATGACCCTAGCAGGGACAGCTATCATAACTTTAGCACCAGGTAAATAAATACCTTTTGGTCATAACATAGGTCTGTATTGTGACCTCCATCAAGCACACTTTTACATCCTCCTCCCAGATCTTTAAACAGCCCCATTGTCCAAAATACGCTGCTAACGCCTGTCCCAAAAGTGCTAACTGGACTTCCTTGTTGTTGTTTTTTTTCTTTTGAAGACGTCTCACTTCTCATCCAAGAAGCTTCTTCGGCTCTGAAAGGATAGGGGGGAGTGGAACGATTAATATTATCCACTATCCTGTCAGGGCTGAAGAGGCTTCTTGGATAAGAAGCGAAACGGCTTCAAAAGAAAAGGGAAAAAAAACAAGAAAGTCCAGTTGCCTCCTGAAAAAGCACCTTTGGGACAACCATGACCTGGATGACGGACAATCTCCATAGGCATTTAGCAATGCAAAAGGATTATTACTTTGATTCCTTCCCAGCAGCCAGCACAGGCAGCCTTTGCAGCCTGTTATAACTGTGCCATTGTATGTTATGCATAAAGGTAAAGGTTCCGCTCGCACATATATGCTAGTTGTTCCTGACTCTCAGGGGCGGTGCTCATCTCTGTTTCAAAGCCGAAGAGCCAGCACTGTCCGAAGATGTTTCCGTGGTCATGTGGCCGGCATGACTAAATGTCGAAGGCGTACGGAACGCTGTTCCCTTCCCACCAAAGGTGGTCCCTATTTTTCTACTTTCATTTTTTACATTAAACTGCTAGGTTGGCAGAAGATGGGACAAGTAACGGGAGCTCACTCTGTTATGTGGAGCTAGGGATTCAAACTGCTGAACTGCCGACCTTCTGATCGACAAGCTCAGCGTCTCAGCCACTGAGTCGCTGCATCCCTAAATTTTATGCATAAAGGAAGAGAAATAACCGCAATGAAGAACCCTGGTGACTTAATAGTTGAAGTCTGTCCAATCGGCTTTG